TACTTATCCTACGGGCAAGCTTACACATGGTTACGAAATAAACACATACAAATACATAATAAAATAATAATGTACACAATGCATTTCTTTAAAACAACTATATTTTTTAATGAGCGTATCATGTAGTTTCCACAGAAGTCCTACACTTGCAATAGCTACTGTCTGCTCCGCGATTGACGCCCTCCATAATCCCCACTAACCACTCAACGTCTGATCCCTGCTTGCAATATCAGTTTCCTTAATGGCCAAGTTGAATCTAAACGACATTTTTACAGCGTTATTTATATTCGTATGTTCGTCATCCCGTCCCGTAAACAATTGTCATGAAGATATTCGCCGCACTTTGTGGAGATATTCTTTAATAGAAATAAACCAAGAAGACGTCAGAAGCTGACAATTGTGTAAGGACATTGCAAACAAATGTCTCAGTTAATATACAAAAACCCTTCAAGCTGAATTAATCATTTGCGATCTGAAAAGCGTCCTCACTATGCACACTAATTAATCGTTTGTTCTTAATCTTTTCTTTATTGACAGCATCAAGACGAAGACTCACTACTGCGGTTGGAAAAACGTTTTGGTGATGCTCAAAAGGCTATCATATTATTGACATTGTCAGTGAAATCTCTTTTATGATAACGTGCCTGATTAAAAAAAACACACCACACAATTTGACACGAAACACTTTCAGCTGTTATCATATCACCATATTTTGTCACACTTCACTGCAGCTGTTGTGCACAAGGAAGGAAAAAGGGAAGATCGAACAAAAGACCGTCACTTTGGTTCTTGGATCAACCAGTTTTGTCCTGCACACATCAGGATATTGAGACATTAAGGTTTTGTCCTGCACACATCAGGATATTGAGACATTAAGGTTTTGTCCTGCACACATCAGGATATTGAGACATTAAGGTTTTGTCCTGCACACATCAGGATATTGAGACATTAAGGTTTTGTCCTGCACACATCAGGATATTGAGACATTAAGGTTTTGTCCTGCACACATCAGGATATTGAGACATTAAGGTTTTGTCCTGCACACATCAGGATATTGAGACATTAAGGTTTTGTCCTGCACACATCAGGATATTGAGACATTAAGGTTTTGTCCTGCACACATCAGGATATTGAGACATTAAGGTTTTGTCTTGCACACATCAGGATATTGAGACATTAAGGTTTTGTCCAGCAGCGTAACTTGAACGACTCTCAACAGCCGTCTTACGACGAAAGGACAACAATAACGGCGGCTACTCGTTCACAACTTTGAAGTGTCGCAGAGCCACAACCAGAATTATGAAAGACTAAATATCTTCCAAATTCTCTGTTAGAGTCAGAAAATAAAGACACCAAAACCTGTGAAAACTGATGCATGATGGTAGGTTAACTTTTGTAACGTGTGTGCCCTGTCCAATTCAGCGCTACTCCGGAACCTGGATCGTATCATGGCTGCATCAGACATGAACAATACGTCATTTCTCTCCAACGAAACGTGGCCCAATTCCTCCCTCACGGAGATCCTGGATCATCTCGACCTTCTGCACACAATTCTCAACACAAGTTTTGAGGACAACGTCACCGAGTCCAGCGGCGTCCAGAGGATCCTGGGAGCTTTCACAGAGCCGGACAACAACACCATGCAGGAGGTGTGGCTGCGTAACTTCTTTACATTCTATCTGGAGTCTCCGGCGACTCGCGTGAAGGACAGAGTCTACATGTGGACCAAGACAGTGTGGCTCACTGTGATGCTGGTGGCGGGGCTCGTCGGCAATCTCTTTGCCATGGTGGTGAGTAGCAACACTGTCTGTGTGTGTTTAGAATTAACCCTATCCGTACGTCGTGTTTTACTATCGTATCCATACAACACGAGGAACTCAGTGCCACCATTTTCAAAAGAGGATTTTACTGATTTTACTGCGATGCCTCACATATTTATTTTTGTTTCCATTTGTTAGGCTGTCTTTATCTATTCGTTTAGATCAAATATATCAGTGTTATAGAGATTTTAAAAAAGAAAATTCCCCAAGAGATGACACAAAGGTGCTTGTTAAAAAGAGATACAGAAAATTTCGGTTGGTGGCTGATGCTAGCAGGTATTATGTGTGGTGAATGTGATACCCCTGAACAAAGAAAGATTTGGCGAAATAAAAAAAGTCCCCATTTGATTGTATCGTTTAGCCAAACTGTAGTTGATTGGCTGATCTCGTTCCTAGTTCAGTAGAAAAAAGGCTGCTAAGAAAGGATAACAATTACATTTATAACTTTGAAAACGAAAATGATAAGCATTTTTTAAAAGCAAGCAGGCCACATAAGATTACTCCAAAAGTTCTTTAATGTGACAAACATATTTTAAAAAAAGATCATTTTCCGTTCTGTGCAAGGCACCACAGCAAACACAACACAACGAACTTATTTTCAACATCAAGATAATATTTGAGGCAACGTGGTGAAATCAGGCGCTCGTCATATTAAAGAAAGTCAAGACACTGGCATTTTTCTGCAGGTTTGGGAATTTTTACCAATTTATTTTTGGCTCAACACCTTTCAAGAACACATTTCTGTGTGGATTTTACTTTAAAAACACAACCTTTGATTAAAGGCACAAAAGATGAAAGTTTCAGTTTCCACAGACTCTCAAGCTAAGGTAATAACTCAACTTTGGCAATCATTCCCTCGCTAATTTTATCTATGAAACTAGGCAACCCCCGCCCCCCTCCCCCCAATCTCCTTCAAAGGCTGAAATCTCGACTCATGTTCAAGATAAATGGATACGTTTTTCATCAAGTGCAAGGCAAATACACAACCTTTAAAAAGATACCAATAACTCCATGTACCTAAAAATTGACGAGCGCCTGATTCCACAGCGTCGTGACATATATTATGTAGTTGTCCCCTTCCTGTTACCCCTACCCCCCCACCCCCTCCCCTGCCTTTTTCTATCTCTCTCTCCAGTCAATCTTTGATTTCCCACCATAATAATGTAGCGCTTTGTCTCATTTTTTTCCTCTCCAAGATCATGGCTAGACCCTCAATGCGTCATCAACCAATCAACAGTCGTTTCTTTGTCCTGGCGTTCTGCGACTTCTGCTGTTGCTTCATCCGGGTGATCACGTGGGCCAATCTTCTGTACGCCTTTCGTGGACTTCCGGTTCCCATCAAGTTCGATAATGACGCATTGTGCAAGTTTTCCGAATACGTTTTCACTTCAATTCATATATCTGGTTAGTGCTCAAACAACGTTTACCACACCGTTTGTCATTTGTGAAGCGTGCTGACAAAATGAGTTACTTCTCACAATCCACTTAATGCAGATATTGGCCAAAAATTGACACCAGGGTCAAGTTTCTAGGTTTTCTATTGATGCAATATTCATAAAGTGCTAAATGCCTTGAGTTATTTCATACTTACTAATTGTAGAACCTTTACTTATAAGCATGATGTATCTTTTCCATAGGGCTCAAATCCGAGCAGTACTTCATTTTGTCAGCACACGTCACATATTGTTTGCTTTTTCTGTTTTTGTTCGTTTGTTCGTTTGTTTTGGAAGAAAACAAAAACAACAAATCCCCCCCCCCCCCCAAACAAAAACAAACCCCAAACAAAACAAAACAAAACAAAAACAAACAAATGTAAAAAAAAACATAATTGATTTCTGAAACTGTTTTACATCCGCACTTCTTTAATTTAAAGCGTTTATGAGGCAGTCTGCTTAAGGGGGGGGGGGGGTGGTTTATAAACCTATCTCGGTAACTATGGCCTTTTTAGGTAATACCTTATAGCAAAGAGGTTTAACACAAAAACATCTGTAAAATGTGACTTTAATTTTTCTGTTTAAGTCTCCGGTTGCCATTGCAACGGCCGCCATATTGAAAATAAACAGCTTTCATAAAAGTAAAAAAGGCTGGAAAAGAATGGCAGCCATCCAGAACATTTCAGAAATGGCAGAAAAAAGTTCGGCAAACGAAGAGAAACAGCAGGAGAGCACCTTGGAGTGATGACCAGAGTGTGGCCTGTCCTCCTTAGAGTGTCAGGAAGTTAGGGCTAAACACTTGTTTGGGGGGGGGGGGGGTTCTTCCCTTGAAGATCTCCTGCTGTCCGCTCACCCCACGAGTTTTCTCCCACATTATATCGAAGAGTTGAGCCAGCACACTTCAGAACATTCTTAACCCTATCCGTACGTCGTGTTTTATTATCGTATCCATACGACGTGGGAAACTCTGTGCCACCACTTAAAAAACAAAAAAGCAAACCTCTCTTGTTCAGTAGAACAAAGTAAATGTAAGGTCTTCCTTTTGATACTTTGCTCCCTTGGTGCAAACTTCCTCCCACATAAAATAATTCCAGAAAAACAAACAAACAAACAAGACATAAAGCAAACAACAACAACAACAACAACAACAACATCAGCAGCAGCAACAACAACAACAACAGCAACAACAACAACTGCAACAACAAGAAGCAAAAGATAAGCACAACATTAACGAAACAAGTATGTAACGTGTCCTCCTCTCCATACGCATTCTTCTTTCGTGAACTCCACAATTGGTCGCTTTTATGGACAAGCAGGCTAACCCAGATTTCGGGGGTTTCCAGAAATTTTGACCTACACATAGAGTGGGTATTGCCCTACCTATAGGAGAAGTTTGGTTTCATTGGTGTGAATATTTCTTTGTTTATAGAGAAAATTCTCATTGTCTTCTAATCGAACTGAACAAGGGGCTAAAACTTTACCTTCGATTTTCTCAAAACAGCATTTTTCGGGATAGCCCCCTGGTGCTTCAAAGCGACCAAATTATCTCCTCAGAGTGGGTGGTTGGCGGGTGCTCTGGTGTGGTTTGCTTCTTCTTTCCTATGAAACATCTATCGTCCTATCTCCCCTTCTTCTTTTTGCGTTTGCTACTCTCTTGTAACGCACCTAATCTTCTGACGCTCAAATGACTTTATACAGTTGTGAGCGCCGTAAAACCTCTACTAAAACAATCTCCCCAGAGTCGTGGATGGTGACCTATATAACCCTGGAGAGGGCTGTCCACATCGTGTTCCCTTTCAAAGGGACAGAATTCTGCAAGCCTTCCCTGGGCAAGCTGGCCATGCCAGTCTGTGTGATTGGCCCTTTCGTTGTGATGAGTTACCTGCCCGTGGTCACCCGCTTCGTGCCGGGTGTGGGCTGTGCCACAAGAGCCTACCCAGAGATGTACTATCACTTCGTCACTGCTACAGCCGGGGTCAGTGGGCTTTATCATCATCATCATCATCATCATCATCATCATCATCATCATCATTATCATCATCATCATCATCATCATCATTATTATTACTATTATTATTACTATTATTGTTATTATTATTG